TCGCAAGAATAGACTCATTGAGGGAGCCATCCCACGAAAGCAAAGAATCGCTGTGTTCTTAGGATAAGATCTCTGCGAGGACAGCGAAGCGGCCGAGGAGGACGGATAACTAAGAGAGGACAGTTCGTCGGTGTGAGGAATGGGCAACAATACCTCGACCTCCCTCACCAGCGAGGAGGTAGAGGAGTACGCCGAGCTGACCTACCTCAAGAAACGAGAGATCATCAGGTGAGTGCGTCATGGCGAGAAGACAGAGGGTGAGCGGACAGAGGTCAATGGGTGAGCGTAACAGAGGTCATGGGTGATGGACTGATGTCATTGTGTGTTTTGACTTTGCACAGAGGTCGCTAGTGAGTGACATGGGTCAATGGGTAATGAACCTCTGACAGAGGTCAATGGTGGGTGGAAAAGGTCAAATTCAGAATGTGCTTCACCAAAGCGAATGACATACAGGATGACCTCCCTCGAGCAGCTTTCTAACGTGACCGGCTTTGATTTTACCTTGTACCTGAGGTACCCAGAAGACCTTAGTCACTCCTTTTTTTTTTCTTTCAGGCAATACCAACGCGAAAGGTACCAAAATTTTGTGAAAGTGATTGACCAAAAAGCGACCTCGACCTTATGGTCATTAACCTGGCCTCAAATCACCGGCTGTCAATATCTTTTAATTGGGTGTCATTCGCTGTGTACGGTTACGTCCATAAGTATATTAAACCGCGAGTAGGTAGAACAATCTTTTAAACGTCGAGCCGATAGGCGAGACGTTAACAGATGTTTTTCTACCTACGAGCGGTTTAAGACCTCTCCCGTACCGCCGATATCTTTCGGGAGCTTAAAGGTAAAAATGGCATTTATTTAAAAATGCGACACATTTCAGCAGAGCCAGAGACAAAGAGAAGCAGAGACAGATGAATCTTTGAAAAACGGTCCCGACAATGTGATCGGTCTGGAATTGACAGGTACATTGAAGATCAAGTCGCAAATACAACTAAAAAAGAAAAAGAAATGATGTTTCATTGCGTTTCCCTGCGCATACTGATGAAATAACGAGACAGTCAAAGGCAAGAATGTCTACTAAACGTTTAACATTTGTTAATCGTCACTAGACGTTTAAAATCAGTTAAACGACATCTGTTAATTTTCTCTCTTTGCACTTGAGCAATTAGGACTCGCTGCCACCCTCTCCTTTCATGTATGTATGATTGTATGCCAATAGCTGTCCTGCTTTCTTCTTCCCCAAGGGTCTATCTCACTCGCCCTCTACTTTTTTCTCTCTCCCCTCTTCTTTTTTCGTCGCTTTCCCCGCTGTCTCTCGGTTGCCAATTCGGCTAGCAACAAACTTTGTTCTAAAGGTTGAGGATAACTTTAAAAAATCACAATTTAGGACACCATCAAATTAACGTTATACAATGATCCTGTTTAATGCCCTTTTCAGAGCCTTCTCGAGATTTCGGAGCATTGATCCTCTTACGGTGGACGAGAACAGATGACCCCCTGAGATACGACCTTATTCGGGACAATGGCCGAAATCAGGTGAGATACGCGACTAAAATGTGCTGCACGTGTAAAGAGAAATTCACTTGTTTTGAAACCTGATCAAAATGCAATAACTCTCCATCTTATAAATGATAAATCGCTTTTCAAATTATGTTCAATTGCTTATTCAAATAAAGGTCAGCGTGATTCGGCATAATTATTATTTTTTCCTTCAGGTTTATATTGATAACGGCTGGATATATTTTTCCACTTTTACCTTTAAAATAAAGATATTTATCAGCAATTGTTAAACCTTGCTCAGGGCCTCGGCTAAAATTTTGACTGGTGGGCCACTTGGCAGCGACATGGACTGACCTTCGTAGCCATAGCCCACCTTGAGCCCACCCACCCCCAATTTTCGATTTCTCCCCAGATTTCGGCCACTTTATTCTGCAAAAAACGTCAGGATGGCATTAAAAAATGTAAAAAACGGGGTTCGACCCCCCCCCCCATTCTTCAGGGAGAGGAGACAAGGGACCCACAACCCTCTCACGGTGATACTCCGGCAGTGCACATAAAATCGCACAAGTATGCACAAAATATTGACGCAGATTAAAAACTTTGAACGATAACTTACGGCCGGTCGGATGTTAACCCGCGCCCGGCTGGGGTCCTGGATTTCCACCCCTGCTGGGGGGTGTTTGAACACCCCCTTGTAACTCGGCTCCTGGGCCACGTAGCGATACGCGGAAAGCGGCGTTCGAAAGAGCGTCAAAAATAATGACGAAATCACTTCGGTCAATTTTTTGGTCAGTCAAGGTCAGGTCACCAGAGGTCATTGAAGGCAAAATTTCGCCGATTTCCAGGTCGAATATCGAAAATTTCCAAGAAGCCAACGCATAACTCGGGAACCAATAGAGCTACAGCGCCGCGGAAAAGCGCATTCGATAGCCCTATTAACGCCCTTTCTGAGTAATTCTCTCAGATTTGACCTAACGTCACAGTTTTGCCTGCAGGGGCAAAAACTGCAAAAATGCCGATTTTTTCGGAAACAGTTTTTTCTGCAATAACTTTTGACCCAAGCCTTGTACGAGCTACTTTTACCGGCATCGTGTTCCTCTCTCGTCAAGGCGCATCGAATGAACTATAACTTGACCTGAAAGGTCAATTTGAAAATTTGACCTCAGGTCAAGGTCATGACCTGACCGGAAAGGGTCATGTTGCATATCAGTCGATCCGCATCGTCGAGCTGAACACATCTAAGGCGTTTTCATCGCTCTAGCATGCCTCTATCAAAAGTTATTTGCGAAAAACTGTTAGATACCATTCGTGACCTAAGATGACCTCAGGGCATAAACAAGGGTCACGGACACCATTTTCATATTCATTGTGTCTAAACCACTTGTAATTCAGTGTTTGGGAGTGTTTATAATGTCTTTCGTCCAAAAGAGGCGCATTTCAATTTTCTCCCATTGTCTTATAATGGGGAGGTCGCAAAATTGACCTGACCTTAGGTCACCGATATCAAAATTCCGAGATATACATTTTATAGATACTGTTACCCTTATCAATCGCTGAAAGTTTCAAAGCGATCGGTCACTCGGTGTAGCTATGACAGACATTGAAACTTTTTATGAGGTGAGGTCACTTCAAGTGACCTGGTGACCTGACCTTGAATGACCTTGGTCTGAAATTTTCACAACATGTGTAGAATTGATGTATGATAAGGTGTACCAAAAACGGCGGCGCTCCGCGCCGCCGTTTTTGATATATTCGCGAAAAACCACAAGGGGGGGTGTTCAAACACCCCCCCCCAGCAGGGCGCGGGTTAAAAATCAGCGAGCCCTGAGTGGATCGCTCGCCGACTAGTCGGAGATTCGGAAGCGGTCGGAAGAGATCGGGCGTTGTCGGGTGGATCGGGAGGAATTGTGAACAGCACGAGTGCAACTTTATATATAAAGTGGGTTGTAGCAGGAACCCCAAAAGAGGGTTGTAGCAGCAACCCCAACATCTCTGAAAATGATCATTAAGCCTATTGGTGTCGCATGGAAAAGAATTGACTCAAAAGCCCAAGCGCACTGCGCGTGAGTGCGCAACCCTAATATTTTCTTTAAGAAAAGTTATGTACACTTCTGGTGAACAGTGTCCGCCGATTTCCTACACGACGTGATTCGGCGATAGGGTCGTGGCCAAAATTCGGCAGTGTAACACGGCCTTAAAGCCGAATTTTGGTACACGAATGTGCACGAATATGCAAGTCATCCTATGTCACGGACCGATTCGGGATCTTTCTTTCACGGTCTTGGCATTTCGCAGACCAGTCGGTGTCCACCGCGTGACTTTTACGGTTTGTCACGACCGCCACGAATATTTCATGAAAAATGAAAATTTCGTGGCCGTTAGCCGAATTTATAATAAACGAACATGATCGCCAAACAGTCGCCGAGTCGCCGCCGACATGTCGCTGCGTGCGTCGACTTGTTGCCAAGGCATCGCCGACTATTCGCAACAGATTCGCCATTCATTCGCGATGTTCGCCGAAACATGGATCAGCTTCGACCCGCGCACGATTAGGGGGGCCCCACCCGTTTTCTGCAAATCGGGCTATGTCGGCGAACTGTTCGCCTCTGTCGGTAAACTGTTCGCCGATTTCCTACACGACGTGATTCGGCGACAGGGTCGTGGCCAAAATTCGGCAGTTAACTCGCGCCGGGCCGGTGCTCTGAGATTCCGCGCCGGGCCGGGGGGGGGGGGTGTCTGAACACCCCCCCCCTTCTAACTCGGCTCCTGGGCCACGTAGCGACACGCAGTAAGCGGCAATCGAAAGAACGTCCAAAATAAGGACGAAAACACTTCGGTCATTTTTTGGGTCAGGTCAAAGGTCAGGTCACCAGAGCCAGAGGTCACCAAAGGTAAAATGTTGACTATTTCAACATTTTGGAAACTGCCAACGGCTATCTCGGGAACCGATAGAGCTACAGCGCCGCGGAAAAAGCGCATTCGATAGCCCTTTTACAGGCCTTTCTGAGTATTGTTCTCAGATTTGACCTCAGGTCAACGGTTTAGCCTCCAGAGGACAAAAACTCCAAAAATAGCCGTTTTTACGAAAATCGGTTTTTCGGCGATAACTTTTGACTCAAAAGAGCCATGACATTACTTTTGCCAGCATCGTGTTCCTCTCGTCGAGACGCGTCGAATGAACTATAAGTTGACCTTGAAAGGTCAACTTGAAAATTTGACCTCAGGTCAAGGTCATGATCTGACCGGAAAAGGTCATGTTGCATATCAGTCGATCCGCAACGTCGAGCCGAACACATCTAAGGCGTTTTCAGCGCTCTAGGACGCCTCTATCAGAAGTTATTAGCGAAAAACTGTTAGATTCTGTTCGTGACCTGAGATGACCTCGGGGACATAACGAGGGGTCACAGTTGCCATTTTCTGGTTCAGTGTGTCAATTTTACCTACATCTCGATGTTTGAGAGTGTCTAGAATGGCGTTCGTGCAAAACAGACGCTTTTCAATTTTCTCCCATTGACTTATAATGGAGAGGCCGCAAAATTGACCTGACCTTAGGTCACCGATATCAAAATTCCGAGATATACATTTTGTAGATACTGTTGCTCTAATCAATCGCTGAAAGTTTCAAGGCAATCGATCAATCGGTGTAGCTATGACGAGCATTCTTATTTTTTCTGAGGGGAGGTCACTTGGCGTGACCTGGTGACCTGACCTAAGGCGACCTGGGTCTGAAATTTTCACAACATGTGCGGAAAAGATGTACGAACAGGTGTGCCAAAAACGGCGGCGCTCCGCGCCGCCGTTTTTGAGATATCTGCGAAAAAACCGCAGGGGGGGGGGTGTTCAAACACCCCCCGGCCCGGCGCGGGTTAATATCGCTTGCAGACTTCAATCGGCTGGAAGTCGCCGACACTACCTCTAGTTTGACTCTGGCTTATATCGTGTCTATCGGCCAGCCGTCTGAGATCGCTCGCAGGCTTATCCCCGACTGTCTGAACTGGTCTGTTTTTCCACTTTTTACCCCAAGAGGATATTGCAAACAATAGGTTGAAGTTTTTTCACAAGAATATGTTTCACCGATGGGTACTTTACAGCCTGGAAATGTACGATAAGATCTGCTAGTTCAATTTGAAATGTGAAAACTTAGATTTTTCGGAAAATTACTGGTGGGCCAAATCTTTGAGGCTGGTGGGCCATTTCGGGTCACTGGTGGGCCATTTGGCCCACCAGTTAACATGTTAGCCGAGGCCCTGACCTTGCTTGTATTTTCGCTCCAGTGCAACCCGTTCGGCACCAGGATGTTGATGCTGTTTTCGTCTGAGCATGACGAACGTCTGAGCTTCGAGGACTTCCTGGACATGCTGTCTGTGTTCAGCAGGGCGGCTCCGATCACACTGAAGACCAGCTACGCCTTCCGCTTGTACGGTGAGTGAGGGAGGGGGAAGAGAGAGAGGGAGAGGGAGAGAGAGAGAGAGAGAGAGAGAGAGGGAGAGAGAGAGAGAGAGAGAGAGAGAGAGAGAGAGAGAGAGAGAGAGAGAGAGAGAGAGAGAGAGAGGAGAGAGAGAGAGAGAGAGAGAGAGAGAGAGAGAGAGAGAGAGAGAGAGAGAGAGAAAAAAAATTCAACCGTGGTGTGCTCAATGCTATACGGCTAAGTTAACCGAGACTTGAAATTTCACCATTACCAATCAATGCTGCATTTTTGTTTAGATTTTGACGGCGACTCGGAGCTTGGCAAGGAGGACCTGAAGCGCGTGCTCAACTATCTGGCCGTCCAGGGGGACAGCGTTCTCTCCGAGGAGGAGAGGGAGACCATCGTGGACAAGGTAAACGCTCAGCGGCAGGCAGCCAGTTGTCGTTCTATGTGCTTTTAATATGGTGTGAAAATGCCGTGTTTCGATGTTGGGACTATAAATATAGCACTATAGCACTCGGCCAATTGCGGCCGGTTTAATTTGTCTATTTTTATTTGTTTTTATTTATTTTATACCCTTATATTTTATATATTTTTTTTTTGCAGCAATTTACACCCAGTTGTAATCTGCCCCGAAGGAACTTCCCTATCATGAAGCATTCGTGACTGTAGGTATCCTGTGACTCGTGAATCTGAACTTGTTTCCAGATCCTGGAGGAGTCAGACATCGCCAGGAGCGGTACCATCAACTTCCAGGAGTTCCAGCACGTGGTGGCCCGCTGTCCTGAATTCACCCAGTCCTTCTCATTCGAGCTCGTCTGAAGTTGTCTGGTGCTCAGTGTTAGTCCCAATGGTCCGGTCCCGCCGACATTACTTAAAAACATGACGGAGCCGCAGAGAGCCCAACTACCTGGACAAATGAGATTGCTGGATGCGGGCAGTGAGCTTATGAACGTTTGTACCTAAGTGACTCCGCAATTTGTGCAATGCCACGTGTGAGTGTTTGTAGGTGAGGGATGTTAGGCGGTATCAATCTATAAATGGTGCATTTTTTGTGATATGTTGAAGTGAACATTCGCCGTATTTTTCTGACTATATGTGTTTGTAGGAGGATATAAGTGAGCTTGAATCAATGTTGCATATTATGTTCTGATCTCGGCAAAGATGTATTATGATCGCCTGGGTCACCGCACAATTGGCACGATTCTTTACATTTCCGACTGTTTACTTTGTATCCATACTCTGCCTGTATTTCTTACTGAGACGAAAACCGTGAAGTAAGGTGCAAGTCATTGGTAAGCGATCAGGTAGATGAGACGTAAGCCAACGGGTGACAAGAGCCGCATTCTGCACGCCGGATGCCGTCCAACATTGCCGTAAAGCCACTTACGACAGATGGCAGCACTGTTCGGCGAACAGACGGCGCTGCTAGCCACTTCGGCCTGGAGTAGGTACTCGACTGATGGCTTTTAGTGCTCGAGACAGACCGGACCGGCTATATGGTGTTTTGTTTGAACACAAATTTGACCCTAAATGAACTTTTACCTGCAGAAAAGTTGACGTTTGGTGCTAACAGGATAAGGGACGATTCAGCTATTTCGACAACATAACAATTCACAATGACCCTCATATCTACTATCTAGGTATGTACTTGAAGAAAACCAAGATACCAAAATAGACACAAGTAAAGTAAAATTGGCACATTTCCAGTTGATGAAACAAACCACTCTTCATTTTTTTTTGCTAGGCAGTTTATGTTTTTGTGTGCTTAAAATCACCAGAAGAGAAAAAAATATTTCCAATGAAATTAAAAATAAATCATATAGAAAGATCTATTTTGTTCATTTTTGTCAGAGGTTAAATAGTGTTTGCCACGGAGGTTTATAACGCATTGACCAACCATATTGCTTTAAACCAACTGCATGCTGATCGGCGCTGACGGTTGGCCTCCGATCCGATACAGGTGGCCGCATTCTTCGCATTCTTCCGTGAGGCACCGCATTCCTCCGAAAGGGACTGATTTCGGAAGTAAAATCGATAGGTATATCTTTGGTGATCGTTGGGTGTAAAAGCTTCAAAATTGTGCTAGTCTCAGCTCAAGCTACCAAACTACTAGGTATTTAGTTCAAAACTCCATGCTTATTGCTTGATGTGGTATGCTTCCTTTAACGTCCATTGTTGCCAGCTTTTAGGGCGACTTAACAATTAAACAGACGTAATAAATTTGTAGAACCAGGGATTTACCTTGATATTCATTAATCGTTTGGTACATGATAATTGACCTTTTTATAAGAGGAGGTTTAAGTTTTAACAATGGGTAGGCATGTAGATTAGGTGTCAAGCGCATTCGTAAAGCGCCCATTAGGTTGGTACACACAGCAATGGCAATCAAAATCATGCTCAACTCGTGCTTCGGCACATAAGACACCGCGCACCACTGGATCAGAGGTTCCAAGCGTCCTGTATTTCGCGCCGTATGGTAAACGTTACGCATGCATAGTGCCTACTTCAGGCTACTCTTCTCTCATTGGCTTCTCACGAAGGAGAAACTCATCCTCGATGGAGACTCGTGAGGTTTCTCCTGCCCCGCTCATCATTAGCGGTTATCGCCACACCACTAATGGCAATACAAACCCCGTAAATATACCATTACGGTCGCCACTGGTCGCAAGTGTTATAGCCTGGTCTCTGGGAGACTAGAACGGTACCGATATCCGTGATGATCCCTTTCTGGGATGATCATGCCGTGCTGTGGTGGTCTCTGCGTCACCGTGCTGTTTATAGTCACCGGCTCATCACAACTGACTGCAAGAAATGACTATGCACCGTCACCCGAGCATTGAATGGTCATTGATCATAGCATTGGTGACTGAACACCGACGAGTGTGTAACGCCGCCAGCAATACGAGTAACACGCGTGACGTTTCCTTCCAGTAATGTTTGGTGCTTCAGACGCACTGGGTTAGACCCCCGGGGCCACTGAGAAACTAATGGTCTCACGTCATGCTATGCTAGAGAATCAGCGGTGCTCAATAAGATGAGGAAGAGTGATTGGTCTTGTTTGACTGTTTGCGTTGGGTCGTGTTGATAAGAATGGGTGGTTGATGTTGTTAGAAATTACGAGAGATCCCGCCCAGTCTATGCCTGTAGACTTTGTACAGTAATTTTACCATGTCTCAACAGAGAGTTGCAGTTGGTGCTTAAATCTTAGCTACACTGAGAAACACATTTTAGAACTTATACTGATAGTACTCACCTGAGTACCTTCGATGGTTTCCATTTTGCCGCTTTGAGGAATTGGTCTTTCCCGAGAACTGTGCATGGTCTCCACTTCGGTTTCAGGAGTGGATTTGGTCTTGACCGAGATAGTTTAGTACTGGAAGTTGTCTAGCTACCCGTGTAACGCAAACAGTCGGTCTGCGGTGAGATTCGAACCAGCAGTCAGTCGGTCAGAAAGGATGGTAAACTTCTCACTTTTTTCCTTATAGTTCTCGCAGCTGACGTGTTTTGACGACAGATGTCAGCACAGAAGGAAACTAAAGGCGTAGGTGGCGCTGTGTTAAGAGTAGAGCAGTTTGAAGTGCTGCGATTCCATTTTCGCTTAGGAAAATAGCAATTATTGATAAAAATAAAACATGTATTTTTCAGTAGAAGAAATAATTTTTGATGAAAAAGAGCCTTACTATATGACACGATATTTATCGATTTTAACAGTTCAAACCAATTCAAATGGAACATCTCTATAATGCCTCAGTGCTTCCGGTCCTTCCTTTCTCGAAAGCACTGCGAAGGCTGCCGGCAGCGTGGTTGTTCCTTTCGCGAGTTGGTGTCTGGCGCACAGCGCGAACGTCTCATGGTGAGTTTGTTTTCTGTATTCTTTGTGTGCACTTAACAGCTTGAAAGTAACCACAGCAAAGGTAATTACTTACTCTGGGAGGTGGCAACATCTGTGTGCCATTGCCCATTTTTGGGATATAGGTTGCGAATGCCATCTGTTTGCCAGTGTTAGCAAAATCTGCTTAAATACCAATTCGTGTGCTTTGAGGATATGGCTCAGAAATTAAGCGTTTCTGCCGTTTCTCTAATATTTGTCTTACTCTCCCTTTCAGAGCAAGAAGCCGTAGAGACGATGCTCTCAATGTTGAACACCGAAGTGAGGCAACTCATCGGGCACAACGCCAAAATGTCCCTGTTGTGTCCTGGCCCTGGGTCACGCGTGTCGCGCCTTGACAGCCGTGACCTTGAACGACCTTGACCGGCCGGGCCGGGCCGAGCGGCCGAGAGTCAGTATCGTCCGAGCGGCGCTGGTGTCAACACAGCTGAGTGCCGCGGGGTGAGGTGAGGCGTGTTCGCCGAGACGGTCCGGCCACAGTGAAATAGTGAAATAGTGGTGTAATCGATAATATGCGTGGCCAGTACGCGAGTGAGATTGACCCTGTGCGCGACACCGATTCAGAGACGCACATAAGTTAACACCGTCGTGTCGGATCGCTCGTACCGGTGATGGGAGACAACGAGCAGCTGGAGCGTCTGATGGCGCTCATGGTTCAGCAGTCAGCAGGCTGCCATGCTGGAGTGGCTCCTCCCCAGCCAGATGCAGCTACCAGCTGCGCAAACTGTCTAGAGCGGCCAACCGGCTCTCGTCGCCTCCGCCGCTCCTATGGCTAGACTTCGGTCTCACATGGACTGCCGTCGGTAGTGTTCACATGCCAGCCCATACATTTTACCTGTATTAACTTTTTAATGTCTGTGCCTGTGTAACTATTGTACGTGCCTGTACTTAACACGCGCAGTGGAAGGGGGGGGGCGGATTTCGCCCACCCCTCCTGTTTTTTGCCAATAACTCGCGCCGCAATCATAATATCAATGTGAAATTTCGGCTACCTGTCCAGAATTGAATTGCGGATTTTCTCATGCAAGAAGTAAGAAAATCGGTTCACAACTTTTCTAGTAATAGCGGTGTAAAGTCAAACATCCTGCCGCCGCGGCGGCGCGGCGGCGCGGCGGCCGGCGCTAGCCGTTACGTGCCGCCTGAATTGTAGACTGTGCCGGGGCGGGACGGTTCCGTCTTTACATCGCGCTCATGGGTGAAACTTTGACATCACCATTGGGGTCCCAAACGTCCAAGGGGGCCTCCATTTAGTGGGGGCCTCCAAGCAATTAGGGGCCTCCAATTGCGGAAGCGGTAATTTACGAACCACGCCAGGGCCTCCTCTAAGAAATTTTCACTGGGGGACCGGAGGCTCAGAAGCCAAACCTAGGGTACCCCCAAATCCAGTTTTATCATCGGATTTAGGCCACTTATTTTTCGTCACAGCCCGGATGCCATGACTTTTTTCAATATTAATAAAGAAATGGTAGGTCACCTGACCCTACTGGTGGTTCCAGGCCAGCAGGGTGACATTGTATGTAAATATCCCCCGCGGCGTCCGAAATCGATGAGAATTTCTGGCTTTTTCACTTTCGACGATAAAACAAAATGCCTTTATTATAGAAAAAAGAATTTAATGGCACAGTATTGCGCAAGGAATCTAACCTATACCCCAGAAAGTGTGAGGCTTAATCCTCGCCCGCACCTGGGGGGGGGGGGGGGGGTGCCACCCCCAAGTTAGTTTTCCTGCTCTACACTGAACATTTTGAAAGCTAGAAACCTGATTTTTGGATAGCTGCTTTTCTATCTTTTCTCAGCGTCACTTTGAAAATTTCAAGTTTCTGTGGCTTTTGGGTTTGGAGATATGACCTTGTTCTTCAGGTCATGTCATTACCTAAATGAGGAATACCCAACATCTTGCGTTCAGTGTTGCTATGGGCCTTGTGAGCTTTTGACACCTTGATTTCCGCTTTTTTGCCAGTCTTACCTCCCACCTATCATTGAACATGTTGTTCTGCGATGTACAGATGTCAGGGTCAGGGTTAAGGTCAACCTAGGTCATCTAAAATTATTTTCGTGAAGTTTCTTTGACTGCATGTTTAGTAAAAGCTTCTCAGTTCATGATCTCATATAATAAGGACACACAACCCAATCTGTGCACACATCAGTACATACACAGACATACACAGACATACAAACACATATCATTGACCTTGACCTAACTTGACGTGAAATGACCTCAGCCAGCAAATTAGTCGGATAATGTGACAAAGAGCTGTTCTAGCTGGCTTGGCACCAATACGGCAGCGTCATCGGTATATGATGGGTTGGCCCGCTGCTTGTGTAGGTATTTTATTCGACATCACCACAATTTATTCAAACAAGATTTTAAGCTTCACGGTCAAGAGCAACAGATTCTTTGGGAAGAGACGAATCCAATGATACCAAATTTAACCTCATCAGGCCAGTAATTGACTTTCCAGGTCAGGTCAAACTAAAGAATGTTGCTGTTTGGGGTCACCGTTGCCCGTTGGAATATCACGTGCGCTGCTCATCATATACCGATGACGCTGCCGTATTGTGGTGCCAAGCTAGCTAGAACCTCTTTGTCACACTCTCCGACTAGGTTTTTGCTGGCTGTGGTCATTTCAGGTCAAGTTAGGTCAAGGTCAATGATAT